ATATATATATAGATTATGGATGAAGCTTCTATAATGTGTAAGCTTTATGGAAACAAAATAAAGCCTCACCTCCAAGCCACGTTGCCCTTTTGGCAACGAAAATCTCTATAATGGCTCTAAAATTAATTTCCAATACTACCAGTAAAATTTGAAACTCAAAATGGTATAGATCTTCCGGATCTATGAACACTTATTTTTAGGGCGAAATGGACGGTCTAGATAATATGTTACAATATACATTATTTATAGAGCTTGAAATCCTAATTGTTTCAAAACCATAATGTTTAAGCCGAGATGATCAATGCAAAAGATTTTCAATACTCGAATTGCAATTTTGGATGAGTTGTAAGATGATGCTTTACTTATTTTGATAGGTTTGCTGACCTATCAAACCATTTTCAACATATAATTAATACATATTTATATTATATAATTTATATATACTATATGTATTTATTATATTATATATATAATTTTTAGTATTTATATTATATTATACTATAATATATATTTATATAATATAGTATATTTATATAATATAATATATTTTTTGTATAATATATATATTTTTGTATAATATAAAAAATATTAATACATTTTATTGCATAATATATTTTATTAATATAACATAATATTATAATATATTATATAATATTTTAGTAATATTTAAGTAGTATTTAAATAAATATAACTATGTGTTTTGTGACATTAAATAATACATGCATATATTTAAAATATTTATGAAATACATTTAAATTTATTTATATATATTTAAATATATTAAATCAAGTTACCAAACAAGTTACCAAACCTATGAATTTCATTACACAGTGCTTTTTAAATATATTAACAAACATGGAGAAAAGAAAATTTGTGAAAAATTTTCCTCAAAAGTGTTTATATTTTCTTGGAGACATATTTAAGCACCAACCAAACGTGCCCTTAGCAATATTAGTGAACAAACATGGAGAAAAGAAAATTTGTGAAAAATTTTCCTCAAAAGTGTTTATATTTTCTTGGAGACATATTTAAGCACCAACCAAACGTGCCCTTAGCAATATTAGTGAAAGTAGATTTCTTGGTATCCCACTACATATTTTTGCATAATTTCCGACTTTACGTATTTGAGTTTTTGCCAATATTCGTAAAGATTTTCCAAGGGTACATATAAGCACTCGTGAACTTTATTGACCATTTCTCACAAATGCTACCTAAAAAGAACCAAGAAACAAAAGGCATTGTGGGCTATGGTCTTATCTAAGGCTTTCCAGCCTGGCCCGATAGAATTATTCTCAGTCATTTGCAGTACGCTGATGACAAGATGATCTTGCTCAAAGGTCATGAAGGTAACATTCATAATATGTAGTTGTTCTTTAAGCTTTCATAATATGTAGTTGTTCCTTAAGCTTTATGAACTTATCTCTAGAGCTAGAATCAACATAAACAAGTCCAAATTAACCGGCATTAACTGCCCACAATCTGAGCTGGAAACTTGGTCTTTGTAGATGGGCTGCGACGTCAAATCTTCCCAATTAAGTATATGTGCTTGCCTCTTATCAACGACAACTCCCCTAGTTTCTTTTGGGATCCCCTCGTTCAGAGAGCCCAAGTCAAACTCGATGGGTGGAAAGCGAGATTCTTGTCTTTCGCAGGAATGTCAGTTCTCATAAAAGCAACAATTTCTGACCCCTGCAACACCATGAGAACCTGTCATCGGTGGGTCGAGTGTGCCCACTTAAGGAAGATCATCCCTAGACATTTTAAAGTGGGCAACATAGTACATGAAAAAGATATTACAATCGTCTGCTAATTCACACCCATTAGGAAAATTCGAACGTAATTGGGAAGGATCGTGTGCAGTAATTGAGATACATCTTGAAAATTTTTATAGACTGAAAAATCAGTATCGGTTAGAAATAAACGACTATCAATATCATGTACGTCAAAAGATATTACCAGTAGGGGTACGAAAAAATAAATAAATAAAATCCAAAAAAAAAAAAATGGATAAGGTGAAAACCTGAACAAAATGCCTATGGACAAAAATACATGGATACATGGTGGAGACATCATGGGCAAAAAGGGTGACAACAAAAATCCAGAGAATAGTAAGAACACGAAAAGGGTGCTATTATCCCCTGCCTTGAATGAAACCCCCAAAAGGAGCGTCCGAGGCACAACTTGTACCTAAACGAGGAAGGGATAGGGTCATCCAAGACCCCAAACGAGCCAAGGATAGCAAGCCCACTAACCCATTTGGGAATCAAAGGGGAATTCAAAGGGCTATGGGTGTTACCCGTCGGCCTCTAAGACCTGAGTTGAAGAGAAGTCAAAGGAGATCTCTCGAAATGCGACGAGTGGGTGGGAACTCCATGATAAGAAGTACTTGAGAATTTGGAGTCCCTTTGATCCAATCAGCATCGGTCTGACTCCAACTAAAAATCTTCAACCTAATGAGAACACTTTCTTTTCTAAAAATCTTTTTAGAAAATATTCATTCTAATCTTAAGAGCTTTTATTTTTTTAGGGGTAAAATGTTTCCAAAATTAGGATTTCAAACTAATTTATAGGTAAGTTAGACCTTAAAACCACGTTGATTCCTTATCTCCATCAAAGGGGCCGCAGGTACATAAAGTGTAGGGCCCACTTCTTATTTTAAAAAGAGTTTTAAAAATTTATCCAACACTATTTTCAAAACTTTTTAAGACAATTTTAAAAAATGGAATCTATACTCCATGTTTGCGTGATTCTAAACTGCTAATTACCATGTTATGTAAGCGTCATTTGCCTGCGAATGACGAGGCTAATCAGCGTGAAGAGTTTTCTCTCACCAATGTTTCTGAGACAAAAGGGATGACCCGTTTTCTGTATATATGTGCTTTCCTAAAGCAAACCAGTAAAATTGGCAAACCGACCTACAAAGGTCAAGACCCATCGATCGCCCATATGGATGCATACGTCCAGTGCAGCATGCAACCGACCCAGTATGCATGCAAGGGACTCGGCCCATCCTTATATATATATATATATATATATATATATATAATCCAATGACTCTCGTCGGTGGTTTAAAAAACGGATCGGACACCCCAAAAACCTATCCGAATTGGTGATTCGGATTGGGAATCAACTGAATCGGTAAGATCAGTGGTTTAAAAAACGGATCGGTGGCCCGGATCGGGCACCCCAAAAACCCATCCGGATCGGGATTCGGCTAAATCAGTCGGATTAAGCTATAAAAAAATTATTAAAATTTATTATAAATGTGGTTTTTTATGAATCCAATAAGAAATCGGGGTACTATACTATTAATTTTCATTTTTTTCATCAATATATGAATATTGAGATATTTTTTCTCTGTATGAACTTATTTTAACCATTAAATTATATCACACAAAATAAAAATCATAGAACATCGTGGATGAAGTATAAAAATCATACATGAACTACAATAAAGAATGATTTTTTTATAAGAACATTTTAGTTTTTTCGATAAAAACCTTTTATTTTTCTAAGAGAAATGTTTGTCGTATTACATTTTTTTTTTGTTTTTAGCAAGAACCTTTTTTGGACAAAAAATACTTGTTGTAGTATTATTTTTTTATAAGAACTTTTTTTTTTTTGACAATAACTTTTTATTAAATTTTTTTTTTGACAAAATCTTTTTATTTTTTTTAGTAAAAAAAAAAAAGAAATTTGACAAGAAAAATAATTGATAAGAACCTTTCATTTTTTTTTATAAGAAAATTTTTATTTTATTGATAAGAAAAAAATTTGACAAAATGTGAAATTGATAAAAAAACCTTTCATTTTTTTTATAATAAAAAAATTTGACAAAAAGCGAAATTGATAAAAAAAATTTTCATTTTTTTTATAAGAAAAAAATTTGACCTCAAAAAAATAAAATCGACAAGAAAAATATTTATAAGAAAAAAATTTGACAAGAAAAAAATAAAATTGACAAGAAAAAAAAATTGACATTTGACCTCAAAAAACTAAAATTGACAAGAAAAAAATAAAATTGACAAGAAAAATAGCGGATAAAAGAACCCCCTTTGTCCCAAGGAGAATGAAAAGCCACATGCTACTTAGTAGTATTACAAACGCAAACAAAATATATAATATATTAATGTTTCAAGTTAATACCTTCACATTATCCCACATCGAAGAGGTAGAAGGAAGTTGTAGTGAATAACTACTTCTTTGTAGTTAACGAGGAAAATGCGTGCGAAGTGAGGAGGGCGATATCCGGTATTTCACTGGAACCGGATCGGGTCTGCCGGTTCCCAAGTCGAACCGGACGACTTGCCGACTTTGAATCACGGGGTAGGATTAAGCCTTAAAAAAGTCCAAAAAAATTATTAAAATTCATTATAAATATTGCTTTTTAGGAATCTAATAAGAAATGAGGGTACAACATTATTAACTTTCATTTTTTTCATCAATATGTGACTATTGAAATGTTCTTTCCCTGTATGAACTTATGTTAACCATTAAATTTATATCACACAAAAGAAAAATTATAGAATTATCATAGATGAAGTATATAAGCATACATGGACTACAATAAGATTGGATTAAAATGATGACAAAAATGGCTACCAAATCTCGAATCGATCAGATTCAGCCTTGAAATTTTTTAAAAAGATTATTAAAAATCATTATAAATGTTGTTTTTTAGGAATCCAATAAGAAATGAGGGTACTACGTTAATAACTTTTTATTTTTTTA